GGAAAGAGGAACGTATCGCTGGGCCAAAACTGTGTTAGCTCCCAGATTCCAGCATGCCGTCCAGAACTGATACAGAACACCTGAGAATAGCAGGTTTCTTCTGTGCTCTGAAATGAGGAGCACCAGTCCCTCACTCAGTTGTAGATCCTTAATCTCATCCTCCGCAGTAGTAGCTAAGGGATGACGTTCTCCATTGAGCTAGTTGTTTCATAGCATTTTTTGGTCTTCATTTTAGGGAGCTGTTGCAATTTGTAAAGGAAAATGATGCCATAGCACAAGAAATTTCAGAGAGGTAAGTGGTATGTCCTTTCTGGCTGTGGGGCAGTCTTCTTCCAAAGCATTTTCTGATGCAGTTTTGAAGGGGTTACCTATCAAAGACAGCCTAGTATTAATAGGTGCAGTATAAGTGATATTCTGCAGTAACAGCAGGAGGGTTGGAGAACAAGGGGGGGGAATGGGAGAACAAGATTATATGGTTAGGTCTTTGGTTCAGATGGTGACCCATGTCAGGAACCCCACTGAAAGCTATCAGAAGTTGGGAGCTTTCCTCTCAGTATGAGGTGAGTTGACCCCTGGGAACTGTGTCTGCGTTGTAAGCATTATGTATCCAGGCTGGCAGTGAGTGGCTTGTGAAGCAGCATGCATCAGTGCTGCTCAGGCTGTCTCTCTGATACACGAAATCTGATATATATTATCTCAGATAACAAATACCATCTTGAGGATAACAAAAGCACTGCAACTGTCGGAGCTGCGAGCGTGAATGGAAAGTGTGAAATTAAAATAGACGGTACAGAGCAGCGCATGTTGTTTCTCATTTGAAACACAGAAGAGTGAAAGTTGATACACATAAAAAACAAAACCAAAGACTCTTGTAGGAACTGGAAATTGGTTCTGACTGTGCCTTGTGTGTCTCTAGGGGACGCCAATTCATCACCGAGCACTTGCAGATGGAGGACGTCTCTTGCTACTGGGAGCATCTGCTGTCTGAATATTCCCAAACCTTGACTTACAAAGTGAAAAGGAGGAAGAGCTACAGCGAGATCACTTCTGAATGGCTGAAAACAGAACTGTAGAGACTTCTCTGTTTTTCTCTTCACCTCAAACTGATCTCTGGGGAAATCTGAAGTCTGGTGTATCTTCTTTCTCGTTCTCTCAGACTTCTTATCCTTTACACTAGAACTACAGAGAACAGCAATAGGCTAACTTGGAAATTGCTCCCATACAATGGGACCCGGTTATACTGTCGCCGTGAGAACATTAAGTAGCATGTTGGCTTATGGCTATTTAATGGGGTGGTTACGCTTGTCTCTGGAAGAGGGTTGTCAGCATTTGGGACTTAGTTACTACCTGTCTTGGAATGATCCTAAATCCCATTCAGTCAATGAGAAGCCTTTCTGTTAATTTTACTGGACTTTGTACCAAGTCCTCTGTACTCATGAGCAGGGTACATGTCAGCTACGCTCAGCTGGGAGATACGTGCCCTGTTTTTTGTAGGTGGTCAAGGTTTTCTCACCTGTGTGGTAGCACTCGGGATACAAGGTGCTCTCTGGCAGAAGCAGGTACTGGGATTTGGAGTAACCTTTTTAGCTAGCTTAGAGCTTAGTTTTCTGATGACTGTGATGTGTTTTTAAAGAGGTTGATGGTACGGCTTTGATGTGCCATTGAAAGGACAAATGATCCTTGCGCTGTTGAACTACCTACCTCATAGGGGAGCGGCCGGTGGTGATGATGTTGCCACTGCGCTCAGCCTGAGTAGCAGATAGTCGAGCAGTTGGCAACTGAAATAAGGACGGCTCATCCTCCGACAGATGAGCTGGGTGTCCGCACAGCCATGCAGAACTGAGCCCCTGTTAACAAGCTCTCCCCGGTCGGCTGGCCAGTCATCCTTAAGAACCCAGAGAAAGTATATGCAGAGGTAGAGGCGGCTTTTCTTTTCCCCAGATGTTCACAGATTCTCTGCTCTGATCCCCTAATGTAATCTTTCTAGGGTTGAGGGTTTGGGGGTTTTTTTGTTGGGTTGTTGGGTTTTTTTTTTTTCCCTGAGGTTGGTAACACATCTGCTCACTTCACTATTCGCTTTTCTTTCCCACAACTGTAACACTGCTTTTCCCATCTCCTTCAGTCTGGTTGAGGGAATGTCTTTGGCCGCACAGTGGCAGCTGCTACTCACGTTACTCATTGTCAAGTTCAGTCACAGGCTGCTTGTGCTCACTGTATTTATGCCCACTACAGGCTGCTCAGCTCAGAGGGAGTGCAATTTCTGAAACGCTCTGTGGCCCCTGAGTTGCGAGGCCTGTGAGGAAGCAGCATCTTCTCTGGCACCCAGAGAGGTGCTCAGAAGAGCCTAGGCAGCGGCACGGGATCCCAAGAGAGCCGCTGCCTCCCAGGGGAGCACCCTTGGTGTTAAAGCGGCCTCAAGGCTTAGTTTAGGAAGCAACACCTTAATGGAAGAGAATGACAGCAACAGCTCACGGTCTCCTCTGCAGTCAGTCTGGAGCAGAGTAGAAGAAAACACTACAAGGAACGATAACGCTAAGTGCACCTACGCGCGTATGCGCTCACGCAGAGGCCTCGCAGCACTGCCCAGCCCTGCTACGGGGCCGGAACTGCCAGAGCGATTTGTCCCGTGCCAGTCGCTGGAGCAGCACGCCGGTTACGTGAGCGGCACCCCGGTTATCCCAGCCTGCAAAGGAACCAAATCGGGGTATTAAAATAGCCCGGTTTCTGAGGAAAAGAACTGTGCAAAAGTAGAAGGGGTTTTCTGGTTTTGTATTTTTAGTCAATGGAGAGGCAGCACCCTGAGAAACTGAAACAGCTATGTATAGTATTTTTAAACGTTTTTTTTTTTTTTTTTTAAATGAAGTGCTTTTGGAATAAAACAAACGAAAATGAACTTTTGTTGGATGCATCATTTCTTAATCGGAATTGCAGTAAAAGATCTGGATAGCCCCCAGCTGTTTCCCCAGAGGTGCTGAGGCGTGCCTATCTGGTTTTTCTCTTTCACAGTAACATTTAGGGTGCCTCTG